ACAATATTTAAGAATATTTTAGCCAAGCTAAACACGCTTGTACTGGGGATGCCAGGGAAGAAACTGATGGTAGATAGAAGTACCTGAAGCTTTCCCTTATAGGCAAAGCCATTTTCGTTCAATGTCATGCTCTCTCACAAGCGCCAGAGTACAACAGAGTTTTATGTAGGATCCCCACAAGACGTCAGTATCCTCCCTAGACCAATGGGCAAAATAATACCCATTTTACACAGCATAGTGAAGGCCCTGGGGAATGACAAATACTCAACAGCAGAAGTGTTTTCTTTTGTCAAGTTTTATCAATTTAGGCTTTGACTATAAAACTAAGATGTTCCCCATTTCCAAATAATATGAATACCTTATAAAGGATATTATCTTTGTAAAATATGCATGGTGGCATGGTGGTGACAGAGCTACCTCGTAGAGTATTACTATTTTGACACTTTTGACTTTATTGTCCTTTTAAATTATTTCGATATAATTTCATTTTACCTTAACAGAATAAACTCACATTATTTAACACATAGGCTGTGTTTGACATTTTCCGCGCAAAGTTTTAGACCCAACATCATTGTTTTCTGTAGTTATTGTAACACAAACAAAGCTGTTCACTCAAGTAAGAATTTGCCCGGAATTCTAAGTGAAATTGTAATTTTTGGCCACAATAGCTAAATTAAAAGAATTCTCTAAATGAACTGTTTTCAGTTTAGCAATTTTTCCCTCCAATTTTAAATCCACTTTGAATTCCTGGCAATTCTCATTTTAGTAAGTAATCTTGAAACTATACCTGCTTGATATTTTGCTTTGTAAGCTTTTATCTCAAGTCACCTTCCTAATAATTACTTCTATTTTTATTATTTTCAAACCATATTTTTTAGTTTTTGTATCAGATTCAGTGGAGTGCTAATGGTACATCTAGTGTAAACAAGGATTGTACATATACCATATTTTACATATCCTTTAACACCCAATGTTCTGTATACCTTTAAGAAAAATATAAAAAAGAACAGAAATAATGCAGTACCCTTGTGTAGACAAGTGTGATATACAGATAAATTGGAACTCGCACATATTCCAGCGCAATAGCCTCCAAACTCTCTATATCTGCTGCTGTTAAAGGGCCACTCCAATCCCCTTATATGTGAGTGTGACACCTTTATTAATGAAATATACTTCTACTTATATACTTATACTGGTGGATCGCTTATGAACATGGGGACCTTAGTAGTCTTAAGGTCACTCAGGCTCAGAATCACATGAAATAAATATAAAAGTTGTGATAGTTAAGTACAGTTGAGATAACGGGTATATAGACAGTATGTATATTTATTACCAGTGCAGTCAGAGATATGGGAATAATACATACATGCATAGGAAGAATTTTAGAGGTTACAATGGTAACAGATCTCAGTACAAAGAAAGACAAGAGGAAGAAAATGGGAAAAGCACTAGAAATTAATGGCAGTTTCCAAGAAAGACTTCTAATAAACAATATAAACCAAAAAAGGTCTTTATAATTGTTTTGAACCTTTAAGATCTAAAAACATTGAAAATCCTTTTTTTAGCAAGAGAGAGGATTCAAAACTTCTCCTTTTGGATTGAATGGGTAAAGGGGAATAAAGTGATAGAGGAAATAGGGAAGGGAGAAGAATACAGAGGAAGAGAGAAACGTGCCAAAGTATAGAACCCATAGGCATATTTAATTTATCTAATAAGATTTTAACGAACGATCATATAAACTTATTGAATAAAGGTTTGAAATTTGCACCAAAGAATTTAAATAAATTTTAATTTTTTTATAGATTTACAAAAATTTTATAGAAAGTTGTGTTTAAGGAAACACTTTTTAAAAGAGAAGGGTATTCCTAAAGAGATTAATAATCCTTAAGAAAATTTGAGAAGCTATATCATCCACACAGATCTGAAAGATAGGTAATTTTTTTCCCCAAAATGGCATATGTCAAGGGAAATGCAAGCTTTTGAACAGATAGTAAAATATGAAATTAAACAAGTAAAACCTCAATACAATCTCACAAAATCTGAACAAAAGGCCCTTATGTAATTATTAGTAAAATAAAAGCCAAATTCTAATATACAATGGATCGTTAATGGGAGTGTTAAATAAAAATGAGAAAAGGTATTTGGAAGTTCAAAACCCCAAAATACCAATATTCTATTTCCTGCCTAAAGTCCACAAATACCTGAATAATCCCCCAGAGAGGCCTATTATATCAGGCATATATTCAATATCCAGTAAGTTATCCCAGTATATAGACCGCATATTGCAACCAATAGTTCAGGAACGTCCGTCATACCTCAAAGATACCACTAGTATACTAAAAATCCTAGATAAAGTGAAATGGGAGGATGATTTTGTGCTAGTTACGGCAGATGTCTCCTCCCTATTTATAATTAAACATGATCTAGGCATTAAAGCTGTGAATTTTTTTCTGGAACAGCATTCCAAATATCCGGATGAACAAATTAAGTTTGTGTTGGAGGCAATAGATTTGATCCTGCACAATAATTATTTTTTGTATCATGATAGTTTTTACTTGCAGCTCTGTGGGAGCACCATGGGCACCAGGTTTGCCCCCAGCTACGCCAATCTGTTTATGGTGTTATGGGAACTTCGATTTGTAAACTTGGATGGTAGCTGGGGGAAGAACCTGGTGCTATATAAGTGGTACATAGATGACTTGACCTTTATATTGAAAGGGAGCTATGACCTTTTAGAAGATTTTATAAAATATGTAAATTCTAATGATGGGAGGGTTTCCCTTATTTTTAATTATAGTAAATCTCAGGTGGACTTCTTGGATTTGTCCATTTTTATAGAGGTTGGTGTCATTAAGACAAAAACTTTTTTCAAGTCTGTTGATGTTAATAGTTATTTAGAGAGATCAAGTTTTCATTATAGCCCCTGGTTGATGAATGTACCCAAAAGTCAGTTGGTCCGCATTCGCAGGAACTGTGCAGATATGGATTTATTCATAAAGGAAATAATTCACCAGGGAAATAAAATCATGGAGGATTTTAGAGTAAGGGGCTACGAAGAAAATATTTTAATAAAATCTATGGAAGAAGCAGAACGGATTGACAGAAAGTCCCTACTAGGATATACTCATAAACCAAAAGAAACAGAGTATGGAAGAGGCCCCATTTATTTGCCAATACTCGGCAGCCAACATAGGAAAGTAAGGGATATTATTAAAAGGATTTGGCACCTATTATTAAAAGACCCTATGTTAAATAGCTTCTTACCTGCTCACCCTAAAATTGGACATAGGGGTGTCCCCAACATTAAAAGGATTTTAACTTTTAAATCAGATAAAAGTAACAAAGATTCGGGACCCATAGAAAAATGTATAGGTTTAAAAAAGGGATTCTATGTGTCAGGGTATTTATATCGGCAGACATCTTGTGCTATGATAGAAATTAAAAGTGTATATTCTGAGTCACTCTGAACAGACCAGACTCCATTTTGTTATTTTCAAGTTAACAAAAAAAGACACAAGATTTCTTTCTGTAAGACTAGCCACTTTGTCAGAGCTAAAAGGAATGCATAGTATAAACAAGTGATAAGAAGAATATAATCAATTCTAAACCCAGACAATTGTGACAGAGAAGATTAAATAATAAAATTTAACTGTCTATATATATATATATATAAGGTACCATTGTAGGGAAAAGGGTAAACTTAGTTCATGATCTGCCATATCAGAAATTATAGCAGATTTGCCAGACACATAGTCTGGACAAAATTTAAGAAACCCTTTGAAATTTTAAATTATGGCACTATAAAGATAACGCAAAATGACGTCAAAATAGCCACCAGGAAAAGTTAACTCTTTCCTGGATAGGTATGTTTAGTGGGACAAGACTGCCCTCTATAGACCAAATAACTAAATTGCGATCTGGAAGATAACCACACCTCTAGTGCTTCTATTGGGTTATCAACTGATGACGTACAGAGAGTCTGGCCCTTTAAAAGTTAAGACAAAGGGAAGATAGAGATATGCAGGGTATGCAGGATAGATGCAAAGGAGAAAGAAAAAGAGGAGAGAGGAATTGGAAGTTTGGGGACTCCAACCTCCATGCAGAGAGACATCCAAATAAGTTCCTGAGACTACCAATCGGATGAAATATCTACTCAACTGGTAATTATACTGGTTTCATTTAATTAATTAAATTAATTAAAATGTATTAATAGCATTATATATGACTGGATAAAGCACGGTCAGATTTCCATATTAAGAAATCTTAGTTAACTAAAGAATATATAGTTATAAACATTCCATTCTGCAGGTGGAATTAAGAATAATTATATATTGATGTGATATTATCACGTGTTAGCATACCGCTGTTTTTATCCAGGTGTATTGATTTGCTCTAAATTAAGATAAGATATCTTTTAGACAAATTAAAAATCTGCTTATATAATATGTAGATTCTCTTATTGGATTGTTTTCAGGAAATGGCTAATAAACTGGTTTAAATGTTATTTTATTTAAAATTACGTAAGAATAGATCTAGCCAGCATTGAAAGGGTTATTCTGTCAGCTAAACTTTACGACCTTACGCTGCACTCTGAAGAATTCTGTTCTCTGACAAACTTTTTCAGCCTGTGTTAAAGATAGTCATAAATCGTGTAAGTCTTGACAGATAATGCTATTTAGCCATTGAAATCTGTATAGCCATTCCTTTGTATTGCATATCATTTTATACTGAATATTCATTGATTATTGTCACGCATGTTACATATTATTATTAATTAGTCATTATAATTAAAAATCTATTTTTATACATTGTGATTATTTATATGAAATACTTTCCACTTAACACGATAAACGTTCTTTGGGATCTGAGAATTGAATTAGTGGGCAATTTTCACTGTTACTATTATCCCATAAATATCCCCACATATGGCTGTGGCACATGTAAGGCTTGCCTGGCCACGGGTTCCCATAAGTTATTTAAAGATCAATTTGAGGCCCAAGCTAAAACCTATAGGATTAAAGAATGTATAACCTGCCACACAAGTAATATTATCTATATGCCCATGTGGGCTTAGGTATATATACGGGAGCATATTTATAATATGCGTAGGGGATATGCACAACACCAGGTCTCTTCATTTTAAACAATACCACAATAGTGACCCTTCAAACTTGCAATTTTTAGGTATTCAAACGGTGTCTTATAATTGGAGAGGTGAAGATTGTGTTAAAAAATTGGGACAGATGGGTGCTGGTTTCTCTTCAGAATGGTTCCAGCTAAAAAAACGGAACCAGATAGGGGTGTCCTCTTTCCCCAATACTCTATTTAATGGTAATCGAACCACTCGCTACTGCAATAAGGGCAGACAACCAAATTAAAGGCTTTCCGGTTTTAACAGATAATGTCAAGATCACAATGTACGCCGACGACGTGGTCCTAACGCTTTCTGATCCAATTTTCTCTATGCTCAAATTTATGACGATTATTAATGAGTTTTCAATCCTTTCTGGGTATAAGTTGAATATATGCAAATCTGCTGCACTGATGGTTAATTTATCTGTGGAGACCAGAAAAGCACTATATGATAACTTTGGACTAAACTGTTCAATCGCTTCCTTTACGTATCTAGGTATTCAAATTACAAAACATCCCTACGATTTAATGGAGGTGAACTTTATGTCTTTATTAAAATATACTAGTAAAAAACTTGGGAATAGAATAGAAGAATAGAAAACTTGGGAATATCATGATGGGAAAGAATAAATATTATAAAATCTTACATTCAACCAAAATGGATCTATTTATTTCATATGATCCCTGTACCTTGTTCTGATGGCTGGTTGAATCTGGCTCAATCTATTTTTAACAAATTTATATGGTTAGGCAAACACCCCTGAATCAGTGCTAACCATTTAGCATTGAAAGTCAAGGAAGGAGGCTTTGGAGTTCCCCAGTTAAAAGACTACTGGAGAGCTGGCATGCTAGCACAGATGGTCTATACTGTTAAGAGTGAAATCTGGTATAAAATTGAAATGCATTTGACAAAATATGATATTAGTAAAGAGTTAGGTTTAATATTTTGGCGGACAAAGGACAAAAAAAAAAGCAAAGAAATATCGAACAGAGATCTATTCTAAAAGTATAGTTTTTGATAATCTTCTAAACACATGGGAAAAACTTAGAGGGATATGTCATCTCAAAGATAAAATTATTTTAAATCTTCCTCTAACTCAATTAATGTATAATGTCCCTGATTTAGATTTTTCAAATTGGAAAAACGCTGGCCTTAATAAAATTGAAAACCTAATTGATAATGATAGGGTTAAAGATTTCATTACATTAACCATGGATCAGCATTTAGATAATAAAGAAATCTTTAATTATAAAAGAATAAAAGGATATCTTCAAGACCATCTAATTATGGGTAGATCTGATAAACATATCAAACTAGGAAAAATGATTGACAGTATGAAAATGAAAAAAACTAGTTGCAGGTTGTATGGATTTGATTAAGGGAGATTCTGATAAATTTATCTTACCTGTTATAAGAAAAATGGCAGCAATTGTGAAGAATGGTAAGAATCGTTGAAATTGGTTAACAAAAATATTAATTGCTTGAATTTATCAGAGATAAATTTTAAACTATTAAACAGATGGTATTTGGTTCCCAGTAGGTTGTCTAGGATCTATCCTGAGGCTTCACATAGATGTTGGAGATGCTTTGCTCATAGAGGAGATTTCATACACATCTGGTGGGATTGTCAACCTATCAATCTTTTTTGGAAAATGATTCACACAGATTCAAATGTTACTTTAAAAAAAAAAATTGATTTTGATTCTAAACTTTTGTTATTACAATTGAATATTCAGAAAAGGTCCAGCTCCATGTTGGCATCAAGTTAAAATTCAAATTATACACCAAATTAAGATGGAGATGGGTATATAAATAATGGCGCTATATAAATAACATAATAATACTAGACAATCATATGAGGTATTTAAAAAATGGTTAGAACAGGTCGAGAAATGATAAGTCTTACAAACCCTCCAGCTATACGACGCGGTAAACTCTACACACAAGTACTAATATGATTGGTTAAACTCCCCTCCCCCTCCTCCACCCTCCGCAGGGAATTTAGGTTTATTTATGTGTTTATGTTTTTCTTGATGTTTGTAAGTGCTTGTTTTATGTTGTTGAACTTATGATAATCAAATTTGTGTCAGTGGATAAACTAATGCAGATACAAATTCTCTGCTTGTTATCAAATGTATGTATAATCAAAATCTAAAAAAAAAAAATTGTAAGGGCACCCCCAGGCATAAAAGGGTTAAACCGCCGTTTAGTAGAACTTCCCTTCCAGAGACACAGGCACAGCTACTGGAGCAAGACCTAAGCCTGGGGAACATTTCCTATGACCAAAGATTTTCTCTTATCAGCCTTATGTAAATTTTCAGTTGACCAAAATAATATTAGCATACTATGACATTCTGTCATTTCTGATTCTAACTCATACCACGCCTCTTCATTAGCATTCTCCCTGTGAGTGATAATAGCATGGAAAATCATACAGGCATTGTGGTAGTCATACATATTAGGGATAGCTATTCCCCCCCCTTTTGTCTTTTTTGATAGTAATTTTAAGCTAATTCTAGTTTGTTTTTTTTTGCCAAATAAATTATGAAAAGACTGTCTGGATCATTTTTAGTCAGGCCAAGGGTACCTGAACTGGAAACCTAAGGAACCTGTTGGTCAAAACAGACCCTACCCACTGCTACAACCCTCAATCAAAACATCTGAACACTGGATGCTATAGATGCTTGGGCTGCGTGACTTGCAGCCACATGATCCCAAGTAAGTCATTTACACATCCCCACACAGGGAATAAATTCACTATCCGCCACCGCTTGACATGCACGAGTGACTTTGTCATTTACAAGTTGTGCCCTTGCAGCCTTTCGTACATAGGAAAGTCAGACCTCCCACTACGTGAAAGGATCCGCAACCACCGCTCCAGAATTCGGGTGGCCTATAGAGACAATGGTTCAGACTTACCAGTGGCAAAACATTTCCTTGAGCATAATCATCCTTTACCGAGTATGAAATTCCTAGCTATTGACCACATACCCTTACCCATATGCGGCGGTGACCGCAAAAAACTTATTACAGAGAGAACTCTTCTGGATAAGAACCCTCAACATGGTACATCCCAAAGGACTCAACGAAATGTACTCTCTGGGAATATTCCTATGATGCATCAACTATATCCAGTATTTTTGCTAACATACTCTGTACAAGTATTCTGCATCATTGATCGGGCAGTATGTAAAGAAGTGAATCAGTAACTCACTGTACTCATGCCATGATCATATATTTTCTTCAACAGGATAACTACAATCCTGGGAAAATGCTTTATATTTATACTTATTTTTATTATTGGCAACTATAGCATTTGCTGCAGTCAGCTCGTATCTATATGACCAATACTAGATATGATTTATTCTTCTAACACTACTGCTACTGACCATGTGTATTGTTTATTTTTGCTTTATACTTCCCACTGGACTATCATTTGCATTCCCTATACCATATGTCTTGTTTATAGAGCTTCTTCTATTATATGCCCTTACAAAACACACTATCCCATGGGCTCTTCTACATGACCAGCATTTGCCACCTGGTCTGTACATTTAAATACATTGATGGTTATTAACTGAGTGTGAGTCATTAACAGTTTTATTCACACCAGCTGCTAACACTCCTAGGGTCAATTGTAAGTACAGCTTGTATACTTTGTTTAGATTATGTTAATGTATGTATGTTATATAAGCACTGTTTGTACCGCACTGTATCCTAAAGAAAGTTCCATTAGAGAACTGAAACGTTAATCTACTACTGGCAGATGCCTGAATAAAAGCAAAGTTTTTTCACAATATATTTCTTTGAAGTCTTTGGAGTGCTATTATATACATATACACACGTGAATATAATACAGTTAGAACAAACTTACACATTTTGTAATTTATTAACTTTTTAAATGTATTTACATATATTATATATTTAATATCATGCTACATGTATTTTTATATTAATATATAATATTAAAATACCCTTAGACAGTATGCATAGACACACTCACAATCTAAGTGTATATAACTTTAATTTTTAAACTCAATTTTAACATTTTACAAACAGGTGGGGGACTACCTGTAAGTACAGGCACTCCCCTGTTGGCATTGCTGTGGACGGCTATGCCGTCCATGTGATCGTGAGGTCCTCGCAATTACATGGCCCAGAATGGAAGCATGGGAACTCCGTGGGATGGCAGCTGAGTTACCCCACTGCGAACGCCAACGTGGGATTGCCAGCAACCATGTAAGTACGAAGGATGGCGGGGACGTGCCATGCTGCCCCCTGGCGTTTAGAGCCTGGTCTCCAAGGATGGCATAGCACGCCCACCGTCCTTAAGGGATTAATTGACTGTGTGATGACAAGTAATTTGCTAATGCAAACTGATTTACCTTTGCTTTCAGTTTTCATTGCTAAAGCTCTGCATTTAAATCAGTAACGTTCAGTAGGGAACCCTAACATGTAGACAGAACAGAGTAGAGAGAATTGCAATACCGATCCTTAGAATGGTCGGGTTATGCAAAAAGGATAGTCAAAACACGAACCGAGGTCAAGAAAAACAGAATAACAAGATTCAAAACCAAATATCAATAACCAAAAAATCTAAATAACCAGCACAACACTAAATGGTAAACCAAAAAACCACAACAGGCACTGAGGCAAAGGAGAGGTTAGCTTATATACACACAGGGTGTGTCTGATTGGCTAATCTCCAATTAGTGTTACCCACAAGTGGGAGGAGTTTCTTCCCTCCCTTGTGGTCTCTGAGGTCATCACTATGTGCTGGGTCACATGACCGGGTGCAGCACACATATAAGGAAGTTGCTCTGGAGCCTGCAGCGTCAGACACACTGCCATTCTGGAGACAGGGAACAGATGGCGCCGCTCGCTGTGATGAGGTAAGCAAGGTCGCCACCAACGGCGCGGGGACAAGGGGACCTGACAGCAGCTTGATGCAAAATTGCATTGCATTTACAATTAATCGGAAATAATTAAACAAATCATGTAACCACAATTCTAACAATCTAAACTGAAAGATAAAATAAATTGGTTTGTCCAAATCAGTTATAAATTCAGACACACCAAATTG